CCTTCCCTGTTTTTGCATGTGTGCTTCTTCTGTCCCCATCTTCTTTGTGTCTGAATTCTTCTCACTCCATCGGTGGTATCTCAGGTACCTGTGTAATGCCTTGATGCGTTGCATGTTTCGTAGTTTGTTCCAGGAATTTTGAGTATCTCTAAGCTGAGCTACATAGCTTGTCTCTGGAAAATGTACAGGGTCTGAAACATCAGTCCTTCTTGTTTAATCTTCTAATAGAAAGTGCAGTGTATTACTTCTAGTAGTGTAGGTGTGGTATATTGCTTTCTCCGACCTTGATTTATATCCTCCCTCCTTTTTGTAGCTCCATCAACTGGTGTCTGCAGCTATTTGTGGTTTGCCCAAAAATGCGGAGTCATTAACGAAAAGTACTATATCCATCATCCTTAATACAATAAGCTTTTGGTGGAAGTCTTACTGGCTTACAGTATCACGTGGAACATTTATATTTGTATTTTGGTGTGTTAAGCATACAGCTTGCACATTAAAATGGCAATTGATAAAATGCTATATGATGTAATGAGTTGAAAGCAAATGAACACTGTTTTTCTGTTCAAGAATGTGCTACTGAGTTAGTAAGTACAGAGTTTGTCTGATTCTTGCCTCTGAAGTCTCAGTCCAATAGCTCATTTTGTTTGAGAAAAAAGAATTCTGAAAAGTGATAATGAAAGATTGTATTTGAAGCAGTAAAAGATACCAGCTGCTTAGAGAATACAATACACTTGGTTGTCTCTTTTCACAGCTCTTCAGCATGCTGGGAAGCACATGGAAGACTGCATTGTGGCCTCATACACAGCATTGCTTCTAGGCTGTCTCTGCCAAGAGAGTCCAGTAAGGGAATCAGTTAATAACTTGCTCTTAAGTCCCGTACAATTTTTAGTGAAGTAATAATTTGCAGTATTGAAATGGGTTTATTCAATTAGGGTTCAGTGTGAGCTAGTACATTGCTAAAGCTACACTGATGTACATAGTTTTGTGAAAAGTTGCCAGAGGTATCCCATCCAAAACAAATTTTCTGAACATCAGTATGTTTGTCAAAAACAGTTGGAATTGAATATTTAACCTCTTCTGCCTCTCCCCTTCCCTGTTAGTCTTAGTCAACAAATGAACTTAATTCTGAAAGGGAAAGGAAGATTGGTTCTCCTGTTCTAGAATTATAAAAGCTTGCTTTATTTTTCAGTAGTTTAAATAAGCAAGTTAACATCAGACTTTATTCTTTTTTACCAGTCTGCGTCTTTATATTTTCCTCCATTGAAATTACATGTTTATGTCCAGATTACTTGAAGATGATTGCCTCAGGTTGGAAATAATAGAAACCTGAAGCTAAAACATAAAAATATGGAACTCTAACAGCTGAGAACTTCATAAACTCTCTCAAATATATGCTCAAATGAAAATGAGGTTCAGACCTGCCTAGAGGCTTCTCTAAATTTACCCTGGTGGCAGAAATGACCTTTACATGGTGCTCTGTACCTTTAGACTGATTAGCTTCCATACAATTTTAGTGTTTGGAGTGATACTGACAGTAAGTTAATAATTCTCAACCTGTAACAATTATAAGGAGGTTCTATCCATGCCAGGAGAGTAACCTGGTGGGGTTTTTAGTTCTTGATAATGTTGTAGGTCCTGGGGAGGTCTAATGGTGATAATGGTCTTTAATGAAGGACAAAAAAACCCAAAACCAACCCAACAACAGAAAAAAAGATTTTAGCAATTGTTGTTTCCTAGAAACATAAAGACCATAAACATATGAGTATTGATTAAGAGAGATTTACATCGTAGAGATGACAGCAAAAACCATCTTGATAATGCTATGAATATACTTGTCTTATTGCATCTCATGTGCAGAGTAATATAGTTCTGTGTTGGAAAAAATATTTCCCAAATTAAAATAGATTGTTTTATTTTTTAGATCAATGTGACTACTGTGAGGGAGTACTTACCAGAAGGGGACTTCTCGATAATGACTGAAATGCTCAAAAAATTTCTGAGTTTTATGAATCTTACTGTAAGTAATATATATTTTAAATCGATGTACATAGATATTTTTGTAATTGTGTTTACTGTTAGTAGTCCATATGTTTTAAGAAGCATTTAACATTTTTCAGTTTGTGCTTTTAGAAGAGCACAAGATTATTTTCTGGTTTTAAATATGGACAACCCATTTGTCTGTCATTATTTTGGTAGTAAATGGAATGAAGCTACTTTTATTCCATTTGATTGTGACTGGTCAGGAAAATATTTTTGAATCCTGTGCCTGGACCTAATTGCTTTTACTGATACGTAATTCTGAATACTAAAATTCTGAAATGAACATAGCTCTCAAGTATTTTAAAGAGGTATTACAAATGCTTGTTTGTTACTTCTGTTTTCTGTTACATTTTCCAGTGTGCTGTTGGAACAACAGGCCAGAAATCTATCTCTAGGGTGATTGAATACTTGGAACACTGCTAGATACTTAACTTCCGCTGCAGGCACTCTAATGCTGGAGCTACCCTTAGACAAAAGAAGAAGTCATGAAAGAAGTCCTTGAAGGATATACCAAGAGCATTCATCTGTGTCATTCGTGTTCGGATTTTTAAGGCTACCTGGTCTCTTAACCATGCATTCAGCATTTTAGAAAAGACAGTTACTACATCAATCTGCAACTATCAAAAATGAGGGGAAAAAGGTTCTGAGGAAAGTAAATAAAGAAACCATGCTCTTTATGATGCAGTGCAGTATTTAAATATTTTTGGCAGGGTTTACCCTCCCTATCTTTTTTTCTTGCTTTGTTCGTGACAAGTTTCAAGGGGAAAAACTTGCTGCTGATAGTGCAACTGCTGTTTACTGTTGAGCCACTGTTTCATGCCAGCCAGGTGCAAAGGCAGCTTAGCTACTGAGGTATCAAACAAATGTTCTAATAAAGAAGTTCTGGACAGCAGCACCGCTCCTATTTGAGTTTAATTTGCTCTTGCTTTTTTATTACTAGATTATTCCAAAATCATAAAATATAAATTTTTAAATACTTTTGTGATTTTAACTACTGTCTATATTTAAAATTTGTTGGAATCCAAAGAGACAAGGATTGGATAGTTTATTTTTTATACTGTTTTGATTGAAATTAGGTTGTTGAGCTATTTCTCAGTTCCAAAACTATCATGGCCCATGTACTGTAAACTGATAGACCATAACACTTTGTAGTTCTGAGACGCATGCAAACCCATAAACACACAAAGCCATTTGAGGGTATGTTATCCACAAAAGAAATAGTAACTGTAAAAAGTTGTGCCCTGTTTAAAAAAAGAAAGGAAAAAAAAAATATATATATTCAATCCCAGGGTAGTTTACACTTCTAATAAGCAAAAACTTTGAAATGCTGTTTTAATTTGTTTCAAGGAAGCACTCAAGATGTATTTTATAATGCTCAATACAAAGAATTTGGATGTTTTAGGGGGAAGAATTTTAAAGAAGCTAAAACACCAATGGGGATTAATGTTTCCAGCTGACATAATCTTTCTATTTCATTCTTCTGTAGTATGACAAAGTTTAAATGCATACAACACAAAGCCTTAAATTGCTGATATAGCTAAGATTTTGTTCAGTCTGAGGTCTAGTTCACAGCAAAGCATTGTGTTTGAAGACTTAGTGGAACAAAGAATCCCAGAAAATACATGACTTTTTTAAATGATTTTTTTCTTGCACTCATTATTCAGACCAACAGAATTGGTAATTATTTTTATTAAGGTGGTCTTGAATATTTGCAGACTGTTCTGAGCTCTGCTTCATTGACATTTTTAAATACCTGTATAGGTAGTTACATCATGTTATTCCATTGAATTTGTAAAACTTGAAGCCATAAAATATTAGTTCTATGTATAATGAGGGGGAAATAACAGGAAATCTAACCTGCTTTTAGATCTTGTGTTATCTCCGTGTATAAAGTTAAGAACTCGTGCTTTTGTATCAGTGCCAGCTGTAAATTTTTTACATACAGTGGCTGCCTTCTATGTCTTCCTATTTTTGATAATGCAGATTGTTGGGAATTCTGTAAGGAAGTAACTGATTAGCGGCAAAAATCCTATGTTGGTCATAATTTTTTGCGTTTTCTCTCATCACCTTCTAAAACTTAGTGTATCAGTGTAACTTAGAAAAGTTTTTGAGGTTGTATTCCCCTTTGTTTTTTTGTTTAAAAAAGAAAACAGTATTGAAAGAGAGAAACTGTATGTAAATGATCTACATCAGGAGGAAATTATTGAATATTTTGCCCATCTAGTTTTCTGGTTTTAGAGGTTTTCATTTATAATGGGATTTCAAATTGACTATGTAGCTTTCTGTGGAGAGATGGCAAGAGAAAATAAGATGTGACGATGGGGGAAAGCAGGGACAACTACCTTTCTTTGTTACACTGGTAATTGTTTGGGAATTGATTTACCTCAGTGTTTAACAGTTTGTTGTTTTTTGTTTTTTGGTTTTTTTTTTTTTTTTTTAAAATGTAACTAATTGTCAGGCACTGACAAATGCAGATTTTTTTTTTGAGGGTGGGGGGAGAAATCACCCTGTGAACTGCAGTGCATTTTTGTGTGTTAGACCCTCAAATAACTCTGCATTGAAGGGTACTTGAGGCCAACTTGCAAATTAAAGTTTTAAAGTAACTTTTTTTCCATTGTAAATATTTGTGTAAATACTCTCAATTGGAAATTAGAACAGTAGAGTACTTTTCTGAATCCAATCCTATTTTTATTTTATACAGTATTTCTCAGCTGTGATCTTTGGAGCAAAAGCCAACGGCAGGAAAAATAGTTTGTACCAGTTTCATGAAGTATGTCTTTGGGTTTTTGTAAATAATTTTAACTCAAATAAAATTGCTACTTTCAATACATATCTTGTCTTTTAACATGCAGTAAAACACTCCTCTGAGTGATTGCAGAAAGAAGGCAGTGTCAGGTAAATTGGTAAAAGGAAAAAAAATAAAATAAATGGAGGGGGACTGAAAAAAAATAGAGGAGCATCCTGAGGGTAGTGCTCTGTTTTCCACTGGTGTGTTGGGACAGCAAAATTCAGTGCCTGGACCTGAGGCTGTGGTCAATCAAACCGACTAAGCCTTGAAATTTTCTGGAGATGATGTACTTGATCTCTTGATGCATTTTGGAGTTCTCCACACAAATTGCTGTTGATCTTTAAGCCAAAGGGGGATGTAACAACTCTGAAGAGCTGTAGTTAGAGTAACGAATACATGTTGAAAGCATAGGGGAAATGGGGCGGTTCTTGTTATGGTGATAGGTTTCACATCATGGGGGATGTTAATGGCTTCTTTCTTCAGCGAAAAATGAGAAAATTATATGAGCATCTGTTTATTGATATGAATAATGCTTTAATCTTAGGATGGATTTTTTTTTTCCCCATGGATTTTTTCTTAATTGATACAACTACATACAGGTACAATATGCAATAAGTCATGAGCTGTAAAGCGAGCTGAATGTGTTGTGTCATCTCATTGCCGCTTTAACAAGCATCAGCATAATGTAACTATTTCTGTACTCTAATGGGATGGTACTGGAGGTTGAAATATGGAGCAGTATGTTATTAGTATGTGGCACTGTAGAGGCAAATACAGCTTTATGTAAACACCTGTTTTCCAAATAACCCCCAAACCATTCAGTAAAAGTATTTCCTCTTGTTTGTTTTGTTGGTAGATATGTAATGGAAGCATTATGTGTGGATGCTTTGAGATGACATCAGCGTTTTCAGATTAACAGGACAATTGTGAAGCTTCTGTAAAAGACCTAGGAGTCATACCCTTTCACTGAAATTGTTTCACTTTCAGACAGTTTTGAAATGCATGATTTGCATAATAGCAAAGTGATCTGGCATGATGCGTACAGCACTGATTTATCAGAAGCTTAACGTAAAAGCAGGAAGCAGTGCTGGAGATGATTTCTCAAGCCGGCCTAATGGAGTTATTTTTGTGCCGTCAGCAGATTGAGTCTCTCTGAGCAGAAGGTTGGACAGTGATCACAAAGGTATAAAAGCTTCCTTCTTCCCCCTGAGCCGAGCACCTGTGCCAACCGTGCAGCTGGAATAGTGTGGTTCTGCTCGGGAACTGAATAATTGCTGCGTGGGCACTTGTGGGTGGGTGAGAAGATAGTAGGAGTTCTCATACCAATTGTAGGGGGTTACATTTATTTTTTTTTTAAGTTTTTCTGTGACAGAATGTTCTAACAGGAGTTCTTGCTTTTAACCATGTTTTCAGCCTCAAGTACCTCACTGAACTGATAAAGATGCTTTTGGTGTCAGATGCACTGGCGAGTACTCTGTCTTCCCTCATTTTTCCTTTCTGGACATCAATAATTCCTCCTCTGAGTAAGCAGAAGGCAAAGCATACTTGGTTAGCTGGGGCTATTACCAGGCAAGCCCATGTGACTTTCTCAGGAAAGTTTTTTTTTGTTAATGTGGTACTTTTCCTTGCCCTTTAAACAAGAAAACAAAAATGTGTATTTGAGTTCAAAAGATAAAGGGGACTTAAGTAGCTGCCATTCTTCTGCATCAAGCCCGCCCTTATAGGATGGCTCATTAATTGGGTTTTTGAAGATAATGAGATTGGAATTTGCCCTGAGTTCTGCTAGCCCAGTGTTTTCAAAACCAGGCCAACGTAATTCTTGATGATGCTGCTTCTCCTCTGTGTAATATGTTAATTTGTCTTTGGGTAAAGGACACTACTGGATTCTTTTAGCGAGGTGGAACAGAAGCCGTTCATACATATTCTTTTTTTACCTGCCCTAAAAGTCCCCTGTCTAAGGGACTGTAATTTATGAAGACGTTTGCAGCATCAGTAGGTGCAGATCATCTTACTGTACATAAAGGTGAAACCATTATAAATAATGCAATTGCTTGAACTCCTTATCCAAGGGTAGATTGATTTACTAATGCCACAAGGATCGTTACTCCAGCTGTGAAAATTGAACTTAATTTGCAGCTCTAGGTTAAACCTCGAGTTGCCATGCTTGGTACACTATGTCTGTTTGACAACAGGTGCTCTCTGGCAATGCAGAGGATGTTGTAAGGAGCCCTGGAAAAAACAGTACTCGTTGGGAGGAAAGCGAACTACACTGAAGACTGCCTTAAATTTGAAAGACAGACATGTTTGCATCTCTCGCCTCCTGTCTTCCAAACTGTGTCTCTGTCTGCTAACCCCCAGGTTTTGCTACTGCATGTTGAATTTCCATTTCATCAGCTTAGAGAAGTAAAGGCTGAAGAATTTCTTGAAATGTGTGGAAAGCTAGATTACTAAATAATAAAAAGAGTTGTTCAGACAATAGTATTTATTTCCTTTTATGCTCATGGCATAGACTCAAAATTCTAGTCAGTCTTAGGTGGTCCAAAGTCATTTAGAGGAAGGTTCATTGTTGGATAAATATTAATAAATATTATTAAATTAAAAGTAAACTTTTGCAGAGTAAAATTAGGTGATATGGAAGAGAGTAAAAGAAAGAGTAACAGGAATTCTATTTAGATTTACTGTTTAGTGTGGGAATTCTTTTAAGTTTCCTATATTACGGCAGAAGATTTGTGTCTGCATTTAGTTTTTTTAAAAGTAGGGAGGAGGACTGTTAGCCTGGAGCGTGGAGTGGATTAAACGGTCTTCTTTCCATCTGTAAAGCTGACCCTGAGATTGTGTCCTAGAACAACAGTTCAGTGTTGATCAGGTGAGTGAGTAATAACAGTTTGTGCGTGTGTACGTGTTGTTCTTTTCCCTGAACTTTTTGGCTCTGTCACTTTACATTCTTAAAAGCATTAAATGTATTCACACCACTGAAAATAAGGAATATAGACACTGAAAAGAGGATGTTCTACCAGGAGAAAGAGGCGAGTCAAAGGTGCACCAAGGAGTTTGTTTAATTGTGGAGATGAATATTTACCACTTGGGTAAATATTTCTGTTTGAAGACCCAAACCAGACTTCTTCAACAGGTTCTGAACTTGCATTGTTTTCTCCTTCAAACTCACTGATGTTTAATCGGTAGAACCCAAAACTTGAGAAAAGCTACAAGGGCTACAATTTGAAGGAAATAACCAAAAACCCACAAACCCACTGATACTCGAAATAGTTTTACTTTTTTTCCAATCAGTAATTGACCAAAGAAAATCATAGAATCATAGAATCATTATGGTTGGAAGAGACCTCAAAGATCATCAAGTCCAACTGTATACCTGATGCCACCCTGTCCACTAAACCATGTCTTGAAGTGCCACATCTAAACGTTTTTTGAACATCTCCAGGGACGATGACTCCACCAC